CAGCCTCCATCTACTGGGCTCAGGCGACCTTCCCACTGCAGCCTCCCAAGTAGCTGGAACAGCAGGCACCACCACGCCCGGCTAATTTTTTGATTTACTGTAGAGACGAGGTCTTGCCAAGTTATCTAGGGCTGATCTCGAACCCCTGGGCTCAGGTAATTCTCTCGCCTCGGCCTCCCAAAGTGCTGGAATGACAGGTGTCAGCCACCGCGCCCGACTGGGTTTGTTTACCTTAAGCTAACATTTTGGACTTCTAGTGACATCAAAGTCCCCTTATGGTAAGGGATACTTCGTTGTAGAGGGTATTCTACAGGGGCTATGTCGGCGTGAGTTCAGGGGATCAAGTAGGTGTGTCTCGCGTGTCTGAGGGAAGAAGCAGGTAGAACAAGGGAAAGACGGCAGGTAGAAAATCCACGCACCCGTGGGTCTGGGACTCGTCTTACTCATGCAATAGAGCAAAAGCAAACTGTGCGGGTGTAGCCCAGGAAGCCGCTTTAGACTTCAGTGACGCACAGAGTGAGGTAGGTGTGGCCTTTCCCCTACAGACCTGGCTCCACGACCTCCCATAGCTGCTGTGGTCCTAGCAATGAGGGGGGTGGGCACCACCCCAGCGCCGGGGGCAACGGGGACCACGAGCGTGGAGGGAGGAAACATCAACGCGCAACTGACAAGGAAGCTTACCAGGAACTTCCGCTTCTGCTTCCAGTGGCTCCCCTGGGCGTTGGTGGCCACGTGGGCTTCGGTGACGGTTTTGATGAGCTCCCACTCCTCGTCCGTGGGCTCCGGCTTGTGCCCGATGGACTTCTGCAGCTCCTCCCGCCGGCGCTTCTCCCGGTTTTCTTCGATCAGCTTCCTCTTGGCCAGCCTCTTGCTGTCGTCCAGCACCACTGGGGGGGCGGGGAGAGGTGAGGTGAGGGCAGGGCACTCCCGAGACGCATGGCGGGCTGGCATCCTGGAGCCCCGGGGTGGGGGCGCACAGAGGCTCGGCGTCTGTGGGGTGGGTCCCACCGGGCATCAATCTCCCACCTCCACCACCAGCGTTGCTGTTAACTAGTCACTCATTGACCCCAGGGCCAGACTCCCTGTGTGCCCAGCCCCAGCTTTTCAAAACAAAGACCCAGCCGGGCATGGTGGCTCACGCCCATCACCCCAGCAATTTGGAAGGCCGAGGCAGTCGGATTGCTTGGGCCCAGAAGGTCGAGACCAGCCTGGGCAGCATAGCGAGACCCTGTCTCTACAAAAAGATTAAAAAAAAAAAAAAAAAGCCAGGTATGGTGGCGCGTGTCTGTAGTCCCAGCTACTTGGGAGGCTGAGCTGGAAGGATCCCCTGAGCCTAGGAGGTTGAGCCTTCCGTGAGCCATGATCGGTGCCAGTGTACTCCAGCCCGGGTGACAGAGTGAGACTCCAACTTAAAAACAAAACAAAGCACCAAAGACCCGAGGGAGCCTGGCCACGGGGCACCCCGACTCCACAGAAAGGCAGAGTGAGGCAGAGAGAGGTAAAGTCCACATCATGGCAGGATCGCAGATGCATCCGTCTAGCCCGTCCTCAGAATCCACCGTCAGGATTTCTGTCCTCTCCTCCCCTAAGATGACTCTTAGGAAGGAGAGCGTGGGGTTAAAGAAAAACTGGAGCCGGGCTCGGTGGCTCAGCCTGTAATCCCGCGCCTTT